GCTTTGATTTGGCGTTAACCTGACTGGATGAACACTGCGAAGTAGAAACAGGCTTTACTTAGCTTTACTTAATATACGACAGTTTAAACAAAACCAGTCTGCAAGGCTTGCTTTGATTTAGCGTTAACCTGACACTGGTTTTGAAAGAACAAATATAAATATGTTGGATGGATTAAATCACCGACTTCGTTATAATTTAACTAAATGTGTTCATTTACACAGTAACACAGATAATATTTATAAGTTGTCTGTCGTTCAGCACGCATTATAGGCGGGTAGCTAAACAGTGACAATGATCACAGTAATTGTATAGGCATCGTTTAAGCTTGTTCGAGAGGTCCGTTTTTCATATAAAGCATGGACATAACATGGACTTATTATGTCCATGTATAAAGTAATAAAAGGGCCATTAAATAGCCTAATTTTCATAAGAATTTTCAGTGTTTAAATTGTTTGTTTTTATTTGCTTCATTTTACAGATTATTGCTTGCTGAAAATTTGATAAAATATAGGACAATTTAAGGACAATTAACTTTCTGTAAAAATTATCCAGCGTTTGTATTAATTTAAACAAAACTTTATTAAACTTTCTTTAAAATAATGCAATTGTTCTTCATGTACTCATACACATTGTAAATTGAATATGTAGACCCTCCTCCCATGTAAAACGCTTCTAATATATACCCTGTATCCTTTTTTCTCTTCAGACAGACACAATAGAGAATGTGGTCAAACCAAAAATGATTTTTGGCAAACAGATAACAGATTCATCAGTATGAATAAAAGGAAACACTTCACTTTTTTCTTCTGTTTTTTTCCTGTCTCAGTGAAAACTTAAATACCCCTAGGATGCTACGTGGGTCAAGCGTTCCAAAGTAACACGTACCAGTATCAGTATTCTTCAACAAAAAAGTTAGAAACAATAGTATCTGCAATGCAGTAAAATTTGAAAGAAAGACAGAAGACAAAGGCCACTCTCACATCAGGTTTTTTTCCCTGTCATTATTTTATATAAGGAGTCCGCTAGTCCTCTGATTTTCTCTCCTACTTTTTTTTTCATCACTACATTCTTATTTCACCTACAGGTGTTATTATAATATCTCTTAAATAAGAATAAAGCAAAAATGAGTATAATATCGCATAGTTTTGTGAAGGGATCACTATAACATATTTTTTCTTAGGACGGGACTGAACCCGATCTCAATCAACAGCCCACAAAGCACATACCAACATTTCAACATTCCGTTTGAGAAAGTTCATTTCAAAAAAAGGATTTGTACAAATTTCGAGTGTTGGTAGTAAATGCTTTCAATCTTTAAGTTGATCTTTGAAATAAAATTACATAAACTGTGATAATTTTGAGCCTTACAGCAGTATTGTTATATGCGTGCTGATGTCTCTGTCATTATCGGTATTCATCGGACATACATAAAAGCAGACAATGGAAGAGGAAGTGACAAAAGAGTAGGAAACTATCAATGCTGTCATGAGCCAGCACTATTGTCCCTGAATTAAAGACAGGCAATGGTTATCTGTAACTACCTCTGGTTGAAGAGAATGAGGTGAGAAATCGACCACCAATTACTGTGGCCAGAAACTTCGTTATTAACCTAATTTGCCTTCTCCACCTAGATCTCGATGCCCAGTCTATAACGATGCAAATATTTACGTCTGTGACCACATTCTGTACACCGCAACGTATACCAAATAATATACATACATTGTGAACAAATCTATAACAAATATATATATAAAATGCAACTGTCACACGCATGAGATGGACAGTGAATTGTTCAACTATTCGAGGATAAAACCACCTAACTTAACGCACTTCATGACAAAGAACGTTCACACAAAAGGAAATGACAAGATTATAAAAACAATTACGAAACGCCACCCTTACAATACATATCAAAACAATTTTGTAATTATTTACAAGGGGGTGAAGGATGCGAACATTCTTTGTATCTATATTTATAACAAATGTTTCACTGCCACCCCCTTACCCTGTACACACAGCAGCTACCACTCATATTTGTGTAGTGAAGATGGCTGAGATAGCATATATGAACTGATGCAGAGCTTATTTCTGTTTTAGGAAAGTGATCTTAGTTTTGTACTGCGTTTTGTACTGTTTACTAAACTAGTAATTAACCAGTGAGTGGTTGGTTAAGAGTGCAATTAGCTCGTTACTAACAAAGAGCTGCAACTCTTGTTTACGTGTCAGGGCGGCTACGACTTCTATCAACTTGTGTCGCTGAAAATAATCAAAACAAAGTCTAGCAACACACGCATGTTAACACATTTTTGAGAAAAAGTGCATATAAACTTCACGAGCTACACAAAACCTAATCTATGCCTATACACAAGTTAAAATCAACCACCCTTTACATAAACCCCGCGAGCAAATCTGTTGGTACACGTATTAGTGCGGTTTCAGGAAAGTCATCTACTGCATTTTGTGATGTTAAGTAAACTAGTAATTAACCAGCGAGGGGTAGGTTAAGGATCAGGGGCGTAACCTGACCTTTTAGAACTGTAAGCACAGATTTTCAAAATTCCCAGGTACAGTTAAATGTAAATTAAGAATAAAATAAATTCGCCAAATATCATAGCTCAGTTTTCACCAGTAATAAAATCATCAGTTAAAATTAAATACATTGCAGCTATTCAATTAAGTTCCATTACATCATTTCACCCAGAACCAAGCCTTTTTTCTAGGATTGGGATACAGGCTGTCCAAAATGGGGTGGGAGTGTAATAAAGTGAAAAAATATTTTATAAAATAATAAATTTCAATGGGAAGGGAAGGTTAATAACAATCGCTGACACTCTTTTGCGAACCAATTCCCATGAATGAATATGAAAATTGCCTTTTCGTCTCGCTTAGATGGAGAACGATCTCCGGCTGACGATCTTCCGCAAATGGAAGCTATTGAACGGATATGAGAATTGCATTATCGTTTCGCTCATACGAATAATTAAAATGACTGCAATCTTATAACCCTACTGCGGTGTATCATGGTGTACGACTAGACAAATTATGAAAATTTATGCAGTTTTGATACATACACTATTTATTTCAAAATTGAAATTAAATACCTTGACAATGATGTAATTATAACTGTTAAATTTCTTAATTTTATAGTGCATCAAATTGAATAAACACGAGTCAGGAAAGATAGTGCGTGATTTTTACTAGCGTGTTTCGCAACAGCAAAATGTTCGTCATTTGAAATGTAAAAAAAGTATTATAAAAAGGCGGGATTATTCAAGGACTTTCAGTTATTATCTTTTTCTTCGTGGTTATTCAACAGTATAAGGCAATTTGAGAGCATTTAACTCGAGAAATACGCGACGCAATCCGCGGGCTGCTATTGTTCTGACTCACAAAGGCCGGTATTTTCACCCCGCTCACCCCATCGGGTTTATCACCCTGTTTATCTTAATGAAAGTGCAGGAGTACTTTTCTATTGATGATGGTGTCCTGCTCACAGTGGGTGGCTAAAAGCAAGCTGAGTAAATTTAGGCCGAGTTAGAGTAGTATTTATCGCTGCTGGGTCCCAACGGCTTAAGGTTTAAATCCCTATAATTAACGAACCGATAATAGTCGTTTAACTACCATAAGGATTATAAACCAAGGCTATTAAAGTGTCCTCGAAATTACTCCTGTAACTGTAGATTGTCCTTGCACCTCTGTCAATGCACCTCATTTAATTTCAATTTTATAATACAAGTATAGTATAAGTAATATATTCTTTCCTTATTCCTCGTTCATTATCATTCATGTTTTATAAATAGTTGAATGCAGTACGTTTATAAATAAATTATACATTTATAAATTAATGCAATAAGAATTTTTTGAGACAGATTGATGCTGACGCTCATGCATGTCAATCAAACAAACAATACTTAGTTCAATTTTTGACTGCGGAAATTTCATATTGGATGAAATAACTGTTAACAAATTTAACTAGCAAATTGTAAGCAACACAAAAATCATAATCAGCTGCGCGTGCCAAACTAGTGAACAAAAGGACAGTTCGCTACGCGTGGCACGCGTTAGCATAGGTTCTAACCTCTTAAAGCTATAATCCTATCGCCGCAACAGACAATGGGGACCTTTTGGCTGATGTATCCTGCTGTTAATTACACCTAGTTACAGCGGATTGTCTTGTCGCGCTGGACCACAGAAACCGGTGTCATGGGGTTCACTTGTCTTAAGTATTGTGTTATTCCANGTTTATGCTAAAAATCTGACAATATCGCAATTTTTAATATAAAATTTAGGTTCAAACATAGCCAATGATGTTTTGTAAATAAGAACTTGCAAACTTATATATTAATTTAGAAAAATAGACGTAATTTTGATAGCGGAAGCATATTCTGTCAGGGGTGGAATATTTTCATGACTAGCGGGATGGACGAGATCAGGGGTAATCCTAGAATGGGGTGAGAAACGTCCATTGTTCTCGTCAGCGAGGCTGGCTTTTTTCAGAGTATGTACGCACAGACAGAAAACTAAGTATTGTGGGAACGTTACTAATGAAGCCACTGGTAGTACTAGTAGATATCAGCCTGTAGTCTTGAACAAGCACCTCGATGACGAGTGAACAGTTATCAAAAACAAAAGACCCAGGTGTGGTAGTTCAACTACTGTTCATGCGTGCCAAACCAAATTGCTCCTCAAGGTCACAAAACAATATCCGGTACTGACGGCTAGGCTCGTCTTAATCATATAAGTAGCGCGTTTCCACCCCCTGACGAGATTGAGGGAGTCGTCTGTCGCCATGCAATGTTGTTGTATTCATACGACTCCTACTTGACGAAAACGAGGCGCAATACCGGGATGACAGGTAGGCTTACAGAATTTGTGATGGGGTATGATACTCTGTAATGCGATCTGACACACACCTTGAAAACGGGTAGTGTGGTCTGATATACCGGTTTATTCTGGATCGGTAGGTGCAGAGTCTGGTAGTTGGGTAGGCCTGCTCAAGCAACAAAATAAAAACATACCATAAAATCTAAGGAGGATAAAGCATAATAAATACTGGATAAAGTCAAAAGTTAACATAAAATTCCAAAAGAAATTGGGGCCTCATATAAAGGCAAGCAAACAATAAAGAAAGCAAAAGTATTAGGTTATATATTTGTATGAGACATTAGTTGAACTGCTATTACAAACCTGACTTTATATATAAATACCTAAAAAAATAAAGAAAAAAATTAAAAAAAAAATTTGTAATGAATAAATAGATTAACAAATGAAGGTATGAAAAAGGGAAAGGTGACATTTACCACTGAGGGAAAAACATTGCAAGTGCGTGAAGAAATTCTGCATGAATGGTTAAATAAGCTACAAAATGCAAATGCAATCTGAATTTAAGGTGTAATAATCAATTAATGTTACTTCTTTATATATCTATGAGTGCTGATGGAGTATATTAACCAGTGTAATGTCTAAGGACAATATTACCTACACTGACTTTGAATGTGCAGTTTTATTATACTGTATATATTGTATATATTGTATATATCCTTAGTTAGTGAGATTCTTTATTATAAATAACCTATTGCTAAAGCTACTGTTTTCATTCCTATTATTCTTGCTGTTCTTCATCCAGCCCATTCTGCTGCTGAGGCATCTGCTGCGTTTGCTGTTGTTGCGCCGGTGGCTGCACTTGCTGTTGTTGCCGTGGTGGCTGCATTTGCTGTTGTTGCACCGGTGGCTGCGTTTGCTGTTGCTCTGGTGCATGGCTGCATTTGCTGCTGTTGCTCCGGCGGTTGCACTTGCTGTTGTTGCAGTGGTGGCTGTATTTGTTGTTGTTGTTGCGCCGGCTGCTGCTGCTGTCCATCCCCATGTCCACTTGGTCCACTTTTGACCACGGAGTCGTAGCTCGGGGGACTGGGGAAAGCCTGTGGGGGGTAGCCAGCCATGGAATACTGCGGGTGGTGCATGTAGGCTGGGGGTGGGGGGTACCCACCTGACACTATCACAAGTAGAACAATAAGGGGGTTGTTATCCAAACATGTCCAAAATTTGATGAAACTCAAATGTTTTGTTTTACGTAATACAAAGCAATGCAAAAAAATGGATATCTACAGATTTTGCACATTTTAAACAATAATTTGGCAATTTTTCAGCCTATTTTACTAAAAAACAAATGTTTGGACCATAAAACAACCAAAAAATTTCAATCAATGTTAACAAATGATTCCTTACTAGTACACTGCCACTATCAGTAAATGCACTTATTGACTACTCACAAGGAGGATAACGGTCAATTCCTGAGTCGAAAGCGAAGTTATTCTGAGTATGGACAGTGTTATTCCTGCCCCCTGCCATCCTGGTCTGTCCTGCAGGCATCATGAAGTTGGACTGGTAATATCTTCTCTTGTACCAGTATCCACCTCCAGAACACAGCAATACCATGAGGAGAACACACAGCCTAATGTAATAAATAAATAAATAAATAAATAAATAAATAAATAAAAAATTAAATAAATAAATTAGGATTTTTACTTCATTAATGTGCAAAATGGAGATGCAGATGAATTTAAACCAGTGTACGTAAGCTTGCTCTATTTTTTTTTTACTAATATACATAATCTAATAATATATAATCTGCTTGTATTACATACCAGGACCAATCTGTTGACAGAAACACTAAACTCAGGGTGTTGCGACAAGTGTGATTGTGTCAGAAAAATATCTATTACTATGTTAGAGAAGATATACACAATTGCATTAGAAAGGTTGTGCCATAAAAATGCCATTGTGTTAGAAAAGATATCTCACCAGAAATACCACAATCTGTAGAAAGCAGCTACACTGGCACAGCAATGTCTTCCACAGCAATATTCCCCAAAGTTATAACATCTAGAAAGATATATCACAAGCTGTAAATTATTTGGCTTCATGTGTAAACAAGGGGTCAATGCACATGGAAATTATTTCGGAAACTGCACACCCTTCCTATAATTTCAAGTATGCCAAAGCAAAATGAAGTTACATTCTTTTTCTCTGTCTGTGAATTTCAGCCAAATCCTTAACAAAACATATCATAATTTGACTGATTTTGTAAAATGTTTTAAAATGTATTTCAACATCAAAGCAAAGTCTTGATTTTATCAAAATCACTCAGCTGTTTAGTACCAGTAACATGACAGTGTAATGCATAAAGTATACAGTAAACCAGAAGTATGTTTTTTTTCTGTTTTCCCAGCAAGCCGCAAACACTCTACACAGTAAAGAAAACTGCATCTGATACAATGTATCAAATGCTGGATTAACATGTCTTTGATACATAACGCTGCCTACAATACTCTTTGTGCACGCCAATAATTCAAGGTCAGAAATAAACAGTTTCATCTGTCTAATTATACAGTTTAAGTTTTGATACTTGAATCTTCTATAATCTTGTTTTTGAAGTACTCCCTCCAGGTTTTCTGTATTTTTACTCAATGCCAGGAGCCATGTTATCTGATTGCATTCAATGAGAGTCACTTGGAAGTTCTGTTTCTTCTTCGCAGAATCATAGTTTCATTGGGAACGAGCTGTAAGAATCTGTATCAAGAAATATGCTACTCATACTTTATACCTACACCAGTGCTCATGTTGTTGATACAATTATTTTACCAGTACTGAGTACATGTACCTGAAGTTTAGGACCTCGCCATTGCTGGCACTGTAGTAACATGTATTAGCTTCCGTCTGAAAAAAAAAAAAAAAAAAAAACTGATACATAATATCGCATATTAAACAGCTATAGAATAATTGATCGCGATAAGCAATGGTAACCGTACACGTTATATAATAAAACGTAAAAATTATACAACTTACACTACCGGTACAGTACAAGTGCTGCGCAGAACGAATTTTCGTGCCAAGAGAAAAACTCTGCACCACTACATTTAAGCACTGTTCAACATTCATTTAGCAAAGGGTATCAGTGATCGCACTTACCTCTATAATGTAAAGCAGAAGACTTGTTGTTAACGTGAGGGTGTTCCACATTATTATTTTTCAGCACGGTATCTGTCAAATACCAATGTTTTCTTCCAGATCTCAAGTTTTCTCGTTCAAGTGCACGAGAATGAATAGTAGGTCATATCTGCCGATACCATCGACGCATTTCCTCCCCCTGTTTAGTGTTATAAACAATTAAGATTTTACCTTAAAAATTGAGGCTAATGCATAAGTCATTAAAATTATAAGCCACAGTACATCTTTTGCTGATATTTCAATAAAGCTTTTAAGTATGAGTCTCAAAAATGATTCGCATTAATGAAGTATTTTTGTAAGTCGAGTAGGGGGTCATAAATGGGTTTTGACACAACAGGATTTAAAAGGTCAAGAAGATGGCGATTGGTGCCGTAGAGATTGTGACTTGGTTGTTATTTTTAACAAACTTAACGGTAAGTGAGGCTTTATTTTGTTAAAATGTTAAAAGCACAATGTACAGACCGTTATGGCGCTAACAACATCGTTTTTAACCGTTTTATGATTGTGTGGTTTCGTTTTAGGCTTTTGTCCATTAATCGGGTACAATGTAAACTGGGAGACCCGAGCTGTACTTTTTGAACTCCAGTTGAACTTTTTTTCCTATAATCTACATTAAAAGTGCCTGTACAGTCCACATAAATCAGACATAAATAAGACAGCGTGTCATATTAATCGTCTTTTTAAATAGGCGACGATTCCGAAATATATTCTCTTTCAGCGCCTTGTTATGAAATAAAGCTGAATACACAACAAGTGGAAGAAAATCACGATTGCACAAACAATTGACACGGCTGAAACAACCTGTTGTTTAGAATATAACTTACCTTTGGGTTTCATCTAATTCTCAGATGTATATTAGGCATGGTTGTGATGTGTAGAGCTGTGGTGGTTGTGGGACGTATATATGTACAGCTTAAAGCACCAGGAATTGTTTGCGTAAGACCCCATTCCCATAGATTTTAGATCGATCTATCCCCCTGGGGAGTCTCACTAGATTGTTGTTAGCTTAATGGTCTTTAAGTGTCTGTCCCCCTCTACTAAAAGCTGTAAGGGAGTAATTAACTTAGGTGCCCGCTCGGCTCCTGAAAGCTGACAGCAATTTAGTGTGAACCCCCAGGGAGCTAGGTCAATCCATATGGATCACTCTAAATCTGTGGGAATCCAGTCTAAAGCACCAGAAATTATTTGTGTTTGAGTTAGAGGTACATGTACTGGTAGATAACATTTAAGTAAAATGCCTTATCATAGGATATTTGTGCGTGTTGATGTTTTCTGTCCAGATGACCACGGCATTGTCCTTGATGCCGTGGACGTTGGACCATCCGTACAATGTTTTTGAGGTCATACAATTCCTAGATATCTGGCCATATGCTTAGAAAGTATTAACACACGCATAAAAAAAAAAAAACAATGAGATCATGAAAATATAAAACAATATTAGCAGAGATGGTCAAAATTAACATCATTTTGTCTTGATGTGATTGTTCAGTCTTATACTATGTACCTTCCACTGGAAGGTTATTTTTGCTGGAGAAAGCTGTGTAACTTGCCACTGCTGAGTGGTGGTTTTGATGCAAGGGGCAGAGATGGTGAAACTTTGACTTGATGTGATTGTTCAGTCTTAGACCGTATTCTCAACGAATTGAGCCAGGCTTTACAAATCCTGAGACTAAAAATGGCGGACGTACATGAAAGAAAAACCGCCTAATCTTTTAATAGTCTCTCCGCCTCTCACACGCCTCCCCACACGTCGTCCCTGCGGGGTACAGTAATTAAATCTCGGCTCTGTTCGCCATGCGGAAGCTACCTGAGAAATATTAAGTGCGCATGCTCATCAGTTAAACTCGTGGTGAAGAAAGCATGGCGGCTGAAGGCGATCAAAGGAAAAAAGCTCTTCTGTTCTATTATCTTTCAAAACAGAGACGAAAAAGGAATGAATTGACCCGTAGAGCAGCAATGAATAGACTATCTACGGAGATNTTGGCTCCCTTCGCCATGCGGAAGCTACCTGAGAAATATTAAGTGTGCATGCTCATCAGTTAAACTCGTGGTGAAGAAAGCATGGCGGCTGAAGGCGATCAAAGGAAAAAAGCTCTTCTGTTCTATTATCTTTCAAAACAGAGACTAAATGGAATGAATTGGCCCGTAGAGCTGCAATGAATCAGCTATATCTACGGAGATAATATCACCAGAGATATTCACGGAGATATTCACAGAGATACCCAGCCCTAGTAGACGGAGTTGGAGGTGGGCAGAATTTTTGCGTATGCAGTCTCGTCAAAGGGCGCAGTTCGTTCTTATGCTGATGTTTGCCTTGTTCCCCACGCCTGATCGAACTGTTTGGATGAAAGAAAGGTAGGTGACATGCGCCATTTTTTGTTTTGGTGGAATAAAATAAGGTAAAATACTTATGATAAGAAGAGGTGAAACCATGGCATGGAGAACATGGTTTTAATTAACCGATGTCATTGTATTTGAAATGCACTACTTGCATTTATTGTTCCTCAAAGGAAATATAGTGTGAGAAACATTTTTTAATTAACTGTGTGCTCTATAAAAGACATAAGAGAAGAGTTTTTTTAACCGTGCAAATAAAATAAGACGAACACTTGAATGCTTTTAACCGCATTTCATGACTATGAAAAGTTTATATTCCTTATGCCAAACGACCAAATACAATTTTATACTGCTGAAAAAGTATACGCAGTGATGTGGAAAAGAGGGCTTGAAAAGTATATATAATATACTTTTTATGTGTTTTGTCGATAAGTTATAATTTTGAAGAACTTAAATGAATTTTAAATGCAGTACAGCTTTTAGTCTCTCATAACCCTTAGGAGGGTGAGTTTTATTTTTAAAATGTGAGACGTTAATAAAATTATTATTATTATAATAATTATTGTTATTATTATTATGACCAGCCACTGCAGGTTAGCACAGGTAAATCACTTCAGGCCAATCCCTTTCATATATCATACTCTCCTGTCTAGCTTTTCATGCATTTCACATTGATTAAGCACTTGTAGTTTTGTATTATTTTGCACATTTAGAGTATTATTCATAGGTAAACAAAATATCTATACCTTGATGAAAGCAACATGGCCAGAAATGCGCAGCATTCACGCGATACACGAGGGCGCTATACAGTAGGGCTTCACGTGTCTCAACTAGCCAATCACAGAACAACAATGGCATCGCACACAGACTCTGTGATAAGTGCTCAGCCCGTTGTCAAGTAGTGGTAGTTCATGGTAACAAGCGTCTGACATGTGCAGAGAAGTTTATTATAATATATATTGTTGTTATTGTTACATTATTAAATCAAACTCTGTATCCAAGTAGTAACTATGCTGTACCAAGTCAGGTACTGATGATGCGCAGAGGTCATATATTCCAGAATAAGCCATTACCACTAATTTATAACTTTAATTTTGTTAAATATGTTATTCATGAAAGAGTTCATGAAAGATTATTTTAATTTGTTAAATCGTGATCTTATTCTTTTTACATTCAAATAATTGAATAATGTGGGTAAAATTGGTCTTCCACTTCTTATTTGCATTTTTCTTTTACTACAATATTATTTTGGAACAGTTGCAGCATTAAAATTTAAAATAAATAGCAATCTGAAAGAAGAATTTAGCATTATTATTAAATGATGATAGGAATTTTGGATTAAGAAATTAGTTAAATACTGAGTAGTGATATTGTCAGTCAATTTATGTAGAATCTGATAATATGATTGGAAATACTGATTGAATTCTTGGCCTTGCACTGGGCAGTTTCACATTTGTGCCAAGTGCTTTTTTTGGACACCATTGTACAGTGGTAAAAATTCTTCAATTGTCATGAAAGTTTTAAATCAGACTCTATATGGTGCTGCTATCTGCTGGTGCTATCGGCAACGAATGAGTTTGCCTTTGTTTCTGAGTGAATCTACCGTCTAAAATCACTATTTCTGAAAAATTGTGCGTTTTGCTGAGAGTAGGCTAGGCAATACACGGCAAACTTCTTAGTACGTGTGTACAACAGAATTTTGTTAAAAAACCCTAGCGATATTTGGTCAGGAGTTGCTTGAAGCATAGCACAGCGTTGCTGTCTATCGGCATCAGACCGTTAGTTTGTCAATTATCACGAATTACCCACGAATTGCGAACCCATTCATTTTCCTATGGCAATCTAGCATCTCATTAAAAGTGCACGCATGCGCAGTGGGCTAAACGTGACGTCATGCAGTGCATTTCTGGGGATGTATAAAGTCTTTTCTGGACAGTCAGAATTGGATTTTTTTCATCTTGATGTAAAATTTTAAAATTATATTTTAGATCAAGCCACTGGTGGGAATATATAGTGAATCGGAATTTTACGGATGGAGATTGGATGGAAAATTTCCGAATGAAAAGAGCAACATTCCAGTATCTTTGCCTTGAACTTAGACCTTTTCTGGAGAAAAACTCCAACAGAAAGTACGTAAGTGGCAGTATATGCTTGATGAATAACTGAAAGAACAAGAATGCATAAAGTTTGCATAAAGAGTCCATAAAGTTTGCATTTTATAGTTTAAATATTACAGTGGTGTCTTCTTGTTGATCTAAAGGGTACAGACTACTGTCAATTATACAGTCATGTTGCATTATTGTTATATATAAAAAGCATATGGGTAATTAAGCATAAACTGTTACTTTTTTTTCTTTTACAAAATTGTGTAATTCCAAAGTTGGTGGTAAATAAATAACAAAACAGTAGTGCAACTGATATGGAACAATATCAGGGATATTCACTGTCGTGATTGAAAATTATAAGCCCAAATATTTTTATATTCATAACCCAAACTGGGGAATTGTCATTACATAACATTGTACAATAACAACAATTTTTGTTTTTCCTAGATGTCATTCAGTAGAACTCAGGGTTGCAGTGACTCTCTGGATATGTGGCTCTGGTATGGAATACAGAAGCATTGGTCATTTGTTTGGAGTTGGGATATCTTCAGCCTGCAACATTTTCCGAGAAACTGTGCAGGCAATAGCCACCCATCTTTCTCCTAAGTTCATTCAGATGCCTACTGGGAGAAGACTACAAAACATTGTGGAGGGATTTGAGGCCAAATGGGGTGTTCCACAATGTGAAGAGGCTATTGATGGAACACACGTGCCCATTATTGCTCCAAGCGAACACAAGACCGATTACTACAACAGAAAAAGTTTTTATTCCATTGTCAGTCAGTTAAAGAATAATAAATACACAACATGCAGGATTCTCTGTAGAGGCCTCGTTTCATACAAAACCAAACATTGCCCACTAAGTACAGTTACACCTATTCCACCCCATAATTTACAAATACACAGTTAACAGTATTCTCAGTACATAGCCACACATTTTGGTGGTGCTAAATCTGTGTTTTATGAAAGTCTTGGAACATGATTCAAATGTTGGTGGTTTTATTTCAGACCCTTATTAATATTTGGCAATTTTTCACTGGATTTTAGAAGCAGCATTTATAATTATGTTATTTTAGTCTTGTCACATTTCATACATTTTTCAACTTTCCATTACAGGTGATATGTGATCATGAACTAAGAGTCTTGCATGTGGTATCAGGCTGGCCAGGCCGAGTGCATGATGCCAGAGTACTAGCAAAGTCGAACATCTTTCAAAAGGCAGAAAGTGGGACTTTATTCCCCCCGACAAGTCGACTGATAAATGGAGTAGAAGTGCCGATTTTGATATTAGGTGACCCTGCCTATCCCCTCAAACCTTGGCTGTTAAAAACATTTTCAGAGTTTGGTGTCCTTTCTCAAGCACAACGGAACTTCAACTATTGCCACTCTCAAGGAAGATTGTGCATTGAGGGGTGTTTTGGTAGATGCAAAGGGAAATGGCAAATACTTCAACAAAGGCTAAATTTTGAAACTGAATTTGTGCCAGTGCTGATCCTAGCATGCTTTACACTGCATAATCTTGTCATGGTTCACAATGAAGGCTTTGACCAGGAGTGGATGGACTTGGTGGAGGATGATCGAAATCATATTGGATACCAACCAGGACATGACATGAGACAGTACGATGCCAAAGCCATAAGAGAAGCCTATGTTCAGTATTTTAACAACAGATAAGGTGCCTGTTTTGTCCTTCAGTTTTCAGTCTTGAAAAAATTTGGACCACAAACTTGATATATTTTACCTAGTGCTATGCTATGGTTTGCAGCACACTGGTATTTAATAGGGATGAGATGGTGTCCTTTAAATCAATGTAGAGTTTTGGAGTTTGGATGTTCATTACTAGCTATAGAGAAGTAAAGAAAATTTGGGTTACGTGGTTGTATCAAACACATGGAATTGTGTAACTCTGTTGTTTGAAGGTAGATTTGTTTGAAGGTAGATGTAATGTTTCATCACCAGTGTGTAAAAAATTAATTTAAATGATATATTTCTTGTTTTTTTTCCCTTTGGTATGTAAACTTATGAGTGACTGTACAGTACATTGTTCTCATTTGCATTCAGAGAGCCGTTGAAAAGTAATTGAATTTAAGTTTCAAAATTCTTATAAAATCCTTGAATTTGTCCTTAGTGCTCCGGTATGAATCTTGACTTTGCGCACTTTAATCATAGAAAGTTATACAATCATCCATGATAGCTCATAAAAAATGAAATATAAAGTGAAAGGTGGTAGTTATCCCTAAAACTGACTTGTTCTGTGAATATTAATTATAAGCCACAGATGAAATATATTTCAAAGCATAATTATAAGATGTTTTTATTTGTTTACTCAAATTGAATAATTCAGTTACCTGAAAATAGAATGAAATTCACTGTACAGTACATGTAATTTTAGTTTTAGCCATAAAAATTGTGATAAGAAATGCAAAAGAATTCTTTATTCAAAACAAACCCCAAAATAATTCATAATAAGCAATATATTTGATGGAAAGAGACACAATCTTGTTTGTGCGTGCATGTATGTGTGAGTGTGTGCACAAGCATCATAAAAGAGAAATGTTCCAGCATGCTTTTTAAAAAATAATAAGCATTTAAACTTAAAGTTATTATCATTGTTATTATTGTGATGAAATAAATAAATCATTTTACATTCATTATTATTATTGTAACAAAACTAAACAAAACTAAACATTTTTATTTCATGAGGAAAGTTTAATAATGAATATAAGCAGTGATTCCTTTGGCAAAAGATTTAATTAAGGTGTATTCTGGTTTTATTTTGCCTAGGACTGCAGGAAGTACATCGTACTAAATAAATGCAGGGAATTTATTTTGCAATATGGAATCAATTTCAAAATAAAATAGTAGCAAGAAACGGCTACAATTGTCATTATCAAGTGTAACCTAAGCAAGTGTCAGTTTATTCTAAATTAGAATTTACTTTTAACTTTTTAATAAGTACAGTGTTATGCAAGGAAAGCCAAGTGGACGTGGAATACTATTACAAATGCCAATATGTACAATCTTTCACTAGCCCACACATTACTACTAAGTCTTTTTGGGTATTAAACAGTTTTAAGTCATTTGTTTTTTTCCATCAATGATGATTACCTCATTATTTGAACTGGATCTCCTTCGTTTAAATAGATAAACCAAGCCTTTCAAATTAGTTAAATTACTGTTTAAATTCCTAAAATCATTCGAAAGTAGATGATAAGTCATTATAATCATCACTGAATGCTGCCAATTCATTATTATTTACAGAACCTACAAATAAAAGTAATGGAACTGTATAGTTTTAAATACAGCCATCAGCTGATCGAGGTCACAACGTCACCGGAAAGGGGGTCAACATTGCAACATTTTTTTTCTACATGTTTCAAATCCTTTGGCAGGCTCTCGATACTTTTTGATACATGCTGTACAGCATATCATTTTAAAGCATTTGAAACGGACTTTTTAGTGATGTAGAAGACATATATTTGCTCTGCCACATGTATGGAATAGAGGCATAAGAAATTGAGTTAAAGAATTGCTGATATAAATGGCGATTTTCAGATACACCTTGACGACAAATTACCACAGGACTTTTGAAAACAATATAATGACAGCAGACATTAAACATTAGTAGAAAGCCAATTTTCTTCCAAACAAAACCGCATCTATTAAACTTGGTGTTTTGGTATAATTTTAATTTATTCACTGACTAAACTTGTATCTTCATCCTAAAAAAAGTCGAAGATTCAAAAACTGAAATTCAACCGTGGCTCAATTTATTAATCTTGAGTAACAACTGAAGTGCCTTATATCACCAAAAAGCTCATAAACTTGGCTTTCGCGCAGCTCTTATAGTTCTTTCACGTTCTTTGAAAAATACAAGTTTTCGTTTTTATTTAAAAATTCGGACACCCCACCAAACTGCCATGTTGCGATTACGTGAGCGACATAAACGTATTGTTCTCATCTAAATCATTAACATTAGGCAACTAACCTGAAATATCCGAAAGGTTAACCTTTCTCGCCTATAATAATAGATCCATGGTTTAATAATTTTACTTGCTGTCAAAAATATCCAACAATAAACACGAGCATAAAATTTCAGCAGACAACACTCTCTCCTCGACTTTTCACCAAATGCGCATGCGTACAACTTTTTGTAGCGACTTACAACAGCTCGGAAGCAGTTTTAAATTTACGTGCATATTTACACAAGAGTTTGTAACTTACAAACTTTCGAGAAAACCAACTTACGTGAACGATCGGACTTACATGAAAAGTTGCAAGAATTTGTAAGTTACAACCTTTCGAGAATACGGCCCCTGACCCAAGACCAACGAGCATGCGCACTTAATATTTCTCAGGTAGCTTCCGCATGGCGAACGGAGCCGAGATTTAATTACTGTACCCCGCAGGGACGACGTGTGGGGAGGCGTGTGAGAGTATAAGTTTTTATGGGAAAAGGTCCACTTTTTCAGAAAAAGAACCCCCCTTTTGAAATAGCTGGCTACTTGCCTGAACTAGTCCGCGGACCAAACATTTTAAAAGCGTGTCGAGATTTAACTGCTCTGCCCCTACTGGAACGGCGCGTGTGGGAGGCGGGAATCCATTACCATAACCGGGGACTAGTTATTCTGCAGATCAGCTGGTTGTAAACATGACCTTATTTATTTATTTATTTATTTATTTATTTATTTATTTATTTTTGCCTTGGTTCACGCATGTATTGTACTCCCCTCCGATGGAAGGGGTAATCACTTAAATTGAGAGCTGAATGAGGTGTTAATTGGATCATACTTATGTAAAGAATAATTTTATTATCAGAGTCATACAGATCTAGGCAGATACAGAGGGCTAGAGGGAGTCCCCCTTTCCTCCTGTTTCATTTTGTCAATTTTCAATTAAAAATTCTTTTAACAAAATGGCTTTTCTAACTGTTACTTTCTGTACAGTGACGCGAGATTTTATTTCACTTAAAAACTAATGAGAAATGCCAAATTTTAGCTATTTCGACCCCCCCTCCCATGTATTAAATAAGAGAGAGAGAGAGAGAGAGAGAGAGAGAGAGAGAGAGAGAGAGAGAACTAGGAAGAAAATTGAAAAAATAGTTGTTATTTCAGCTTATTTCAAGTTTCAATTATTTTCATTTTCTATATTTTTTTCAGGGGTGACCAACCTCCCCCTCTTCTCCAGAGACAGTCTGACGGCGACAATGCCCTCCCTAGTCAGGACTCCCCACCACCACCACCACCAACACCACTAGCGCCACCACCACCACCAACACTAGCGCTTGTTGGCATCGGCCGGCACTGGCCGACACCTGACTCAGGATTTGCGGACGCGCCTGAACACCGTGGTTCTTCCTCACCCCCTGCGACCTGGTACAGCCCCGTCTCACCTGTGCCTCAAACACGGTCGGAGGTTTTTCAGGGCCGAAACCGTGTAGACAGGGTATGCGAAGAGATGGCCGTAGAGAGACAGGGCCAAGACGCTGTGGATGATGCAAGCGGTGAGAATTCTGTGCGAAATTGGATGGGTTCACTGTTCTCTTTTCTAAGAGATGTTGCCCCAGTCTTCTGGATGTGTGTTTTGTATACAGAGAACTCGACACCACTGCTGTTCCCAGCAAAAGCAGGTGCCAAGAATGACCATTGCAAAGACTGACTAATGCTAAGACTGGGTTATGTTAAGACTGGCTAAGGGTAAGACTGGCTAATGTTAAGACTGACTAATGCAAAGACTGACTTTTGCTAAGACTGGCTAATGTTAAGACTGACTAATGCTAAGACTGAGTTATGTTAAGACTGTCTAATGCTAAGACTGACTAATGTTAAGACTGGCTTATGTTAAGACTGGCTAATTATAATGTTAAGACTGGCATATGTTAAGACTGACTAATGCTAAGACTGACTAATGTTAAGACTGGCATATGTTAAGACTGGCTAATGCTAATATATTTTGATAGGGGGGAGGGGGGGGTACCTCACTCACTGTTGACCCACAGGCGCCCCCCGAACCTGTGGGGATTTTATTGTAAAGGGACAATTAAGAAATAAAGATGTTATATACATGTATTTGTAGGGTTATTTACTTATTGATTAGGTGAAAATGCCCTCAAAGGGCTTTTTGATTTCAATGGTACCGCATACTCCCTTTCATGGTCTTTCGAGTGTGCGATGAGAAATAAGGAAGTGCATTGACCGGTTTTGATGCTGACCCTGCCTTCACCACAATATATATGCACGTGTTTTTTTATCTTAATTGTATTTTTTAAATACTGATCATGATGTATCGCTAGGATGTAGTCGATCCGAAATCCGTTGACACTACAGTGGTTTCTGTGATTTTCTAGAAAATAATTTGCCCCGAGATGCCTGCATAGAGCAGAAGTTGCCTTCGCCTCAAGGAAGAGAAATTTATGTTAAAAATATGCCCAAGTTTTTTCAGTGCGGAAGTCTGTTTAGTGAACTTCGTGGACAAATAATCATTTCGTTTGACATAAAAGGCTTTGAAGACGTGAAAATTACTGCTGTTGCTCATCTTGTAAGCAGACAGCATGACAATGCATTAAACGATCTCTACCTTTTCTAAATTTGATTGAAGTACACAGAACGGTGTGATATCATCTTCAGGTTTAATGATAAGCTAGCATAAGTTTTTAAAAGAAGTGACTTCTAGCAGAGCTAGGTTTCGATCCTAGGACCTCGGGGTTATGGGCCCCGCACGCTTCCACTGCGCCACTCTGCTCACGATTATAGCGTGAACACTGTCCGTATAACGGTTGCGCAGCACGAAAGATGTGTTTGTGACGACTTTGCCTAAGACCCCATTCCCAGAGATTAGATCGATCCAACTAGATCGACCTAACTCCCTGGGGGTTCACGCTAAATAGCTGTCAGCCGAGCGGGCACGAAAGTTAATTACCCCTTTACAGCTTGTAGTAAGCGGGACGGACATTTAAGCCAGATTATCTGACAGTAATCTAGTGAGACTCCCCACGGGAATAGATCGATCTAAAATCTATGGGAATACGCCCTAAGATACACATGTATTCACTCCATAATTTGGACTTCTTACTGTAAATTATACAGTTATCAGTAAAGACTCCTTAAATGCTGTAGTATAAGAGGAAACATCACATGCTAGCGACAACGTAAGGGGTTTGAAATTAGCTATGAATTATAAATTATTAAAATAACATTCAAATCTTTCTGACAATAGTTATTGTTACAATGTACTCCTTTATCTAAAAAATGACGTTTAAATTCCAGGATCTAAATGCAACTTTACATGACTTGATTTTTCACATTCATTTCTTCACACTTATATCGATCTCCCATTGATTAATTAAATAGATAAAAATGACGACCTCTATAAAACCCCGTGAAACCAACATATCGATGTCAACCCGTATATAACAAAAATCAAGTCCTGATCTACTTATTCCTTTATAATCCTGATCTGGACAGGTTTGAAGACGTTAAACTACATTGTACCTGACTTTGTCTGCAGTAAGTATAACACCATTTTAACGATATTTAGCTTTTCTTCATTTGATTTGAAGTAAAAGAAGAAACAGTGTGAAACTATTTTCAAAAGATTTTAGTAATAAGCTAAGTTAAAAAAATATTTAGTAGCAGAGCTGGGTTTCAATCCTAGGACTTCGGGGTTATGGGCCCCGCACGCTTCCACTGCACCACTCTGCTTCCCTCGTTGATATTCAAGCTGTCTGTATGAGTCATGCGCAGCACAATAGATGTGTTTGTCACGACTTTGCCAATGATATATATTCCATAATTTTGATTTATTACTTTAAAATTATACTTGGGTATCAATACAGACTCCTCTAATGTCGTCATAGATGAGAAAACATCATATGCTAGCAACATCATTAGGAGAGTGCAACTAGCTTTTTTTTCTAAATGAATAAAATAAAATAAATCTCTCTGCCACAAATAGTTATTGTCACTTTGTACTGGTATCTGAAAAACGTATATTTTCATATAACTACATGCAACTTAACATGATTTGATTTGATATGACCCAATTCATTCCTCACACAAATATTGATCGTCTCATTGAAATAAAAAAAAATAAAAACAATGATGACCTCTATAAAACCCTTTGATACCAACATTTCTGTGTCAACCCGTATATAACAAAAGTCAAGTCAACTCACAATCTGACTTAAAGCTAAAGGTTTAGTAACTTAAGTTATGGACAGATGTCTTTATTTCTGGTCTTTGTGGATCCTGAAACGATCTCACATCCTTGATACGTGTGCAACATAAGCAGTATGTTACACATGTGGCATTATAGGGTGCCGTAGCAGGGAAAACCCCAAGTCAATGTGCAAAGTTCAAATGTACCGTTTTTTTACATACATCAGATTGTGGATATAGACGAGCTTATACATAATACTGTGCCTTTTTTCCTCTTCTTTTGGGGAGGCCCGAAGGCTGGATAAACAATGATGCCCTGGAAAGAGGAACACACCCCGTAACAGAGATACCAAGATGTAACAGAAGTCTGTTAAAAATTCATCTGTGACCTTGTTTGGCATATTTAACGTCGCGTGGGTTATAACATCAAGTAACACATTCATACAGTCTTTGGCAGTGGAGACACGCACCAATCCATATATTCTTTAGCTTTCCGAGGGTTAACAGTGTACGAGATGATCAGGTAGGTGGGTCGTTTTTATCAAAATTTTGTCCTTCATCCACACAGGGAACTATATCCGATATAATTTCCTGATCCACATGTCCATGAAAGAGTGACGGATTTAAAGCTGAATGAAATCAACTCTACTTGTGGGCTACACAGAGAAGTTCTTTGCTCTGTACAGAAAAATAGATTTGGTTTAAAGGAAAAGGAGGCGATTTACTTGAGCATTTTATCATTTAGCCCTACAATTTAGTCGTACAATTTAAATTTGCCTAATTAAGAACTTTTAAAGGTATAAATCGTAAAAAAATTCGTAATTTGAGACCACGCTCTGAAAGGTATTGAAATTTAGACATTTTTGTTTTAAGTAGGCCTACTATAAGAAGCAGTATATTAAAGTTAGCCTACTTGACGCCCTCATTTAACTGTACCTTCTACCAGGGCGAGTGATAGATTTTTTAAAGATATTCACAGATATGTCTCTAGCTAGATAGATGGTCATTTAAAGAGTTGAGCTTTAAATGACCATCTATCTAGCTAGCGACATATCTGTGAATATCTGTAAAAAATCTATCACTCGCCCTGGTAGAGGGTAATTTAACTGTCAAGAATTTCGTGCCTGTCCATATCAAGCTAATTTGACTTCTCACCGACCCAGTTACCACATATACACCAGTAACCAGTTAAAATGTAAGAATACACATGGATATGTACCCACTCGGCCGAATTCAAGCGAAGACAGAAAATGGTTTTTAATCGTCGGCTTATACAGGACATTTTTTTTAGTTTAAAACTGTACCTTATTTACGATCTGTAAATACTAGTAAACATAATGTACAAAAATGTATATGAGGAAAAAATAGGCCATTGTTATTGGGTCCAGAAACCGGCACGCGTATCTATTTGTTTTAATTAAAATCATTTCATAAGTTAACATTCTGAGATTTTTGAAATGAACATCGCACAAACATTTATTTAATACGTGCACCCTCATGCATATTTCAAATTCAGGTCATCCCAATACAGTAAACATTTCCATGAAGAAACCTGCATTTGACTGATTTCATTTCTTCCAGAAACCACCATCATATATCTTAACGTAACAACGATGACATTGAAGGACAAAAACATTTTGAATATTTTCAGCATCGTTGTAATATTTCTCTGCGCCCTCGCGTACCCGCTACACGTGGACGGCCGCAGGGGATATTCAGCTCACCAAGCGCCCTGGTTCCTCACACGCCATCTTAGCGGTGCCAGACGCAGTGGTCAGTGTAATGCTCGGCTGCCTGACCCCGGGATGTACCGACACATCTTCTTATTCGCTCTGGACGGAATATGGACGGGGTTAGAAAGAAACGCCACCAGGTTTCTTCAGCATCATCGTTGTGCAGGAAGGAAAGAGTGAGTATTTCTTGTCTAACTACAGACTTGACATTTAATATGGAATATTTCAGTTTTGAAGGTATACCTAGGTAAAAATACGTTCTTTTTTCAAAAAACTCCGATCTCATATTAGATTTATGAATGTAAAAGTGTGCAGTCAGGTGTGTCACTACCAATCAACTGACTTTCATGCCTGTTGCGCTGCTACATTATGTAAATTGCAGTGATTTAATTGGGTAGTGTTCCTTTGGGCTGATCAAAGCTTGGCGTAGGCAAAGCTTGGTTCTGTCAAAAAAATATCCATATTTCGGCAACTACTGGATAGAATAATTTGAAATTTTGCATGCAAGAGGTCAGTTTTGCAGTGCGTAAAATGAGCCAAGTAGTGCTTTACAAATTTGTTAATCTAAGGCAGAATGGCGCGAAAAAGACAGACATAACCAGACAGATCAAAGCGCCAAACGGAACGGTCCCCACAGTTTTATAGAGTAATGCCCAGACTGATGTACCTGCACAGAGGTGNCTCTCTTTCATCTTGGCGTTGCGGAAATGTTTATCCACGAGTTTTCAAAAAGGTATTAGACATTTATCTGAACTGGCATACCCATTTGCATCTCCAGCTGCACCGCCTCTTGGGGAAACGACATGCTAAAAAACTCAAATCCTCTATGTAGACTTAAATAAGTTAGTTTTTACTTAAGTTAGTCACAGGTTATAATTTAGTCAATGCGTCATGTGCTGTGCCCTCCTATGACCATATGCTAAAGCCATATGCCTGCTTGTCCTATCCGTAAGCATCTCTAGTCGGCAAGCAAAAAAACCATCATTGGTTGCTCTTGTAAAATACAGAGTTACTTTGAGTGTATTATCTTCTTGGTTATAACATAATATGGGTATACAAAACGTTCCAAGGATATGCTGTCAAGCCGAAACACGTTCATTATTAAATATTTGTAGGGCATATAGGCTGCTGAAAGGCTTAGGTTTAGATATTCAGTCAAGCTTATCGCAGTCACTGTGATTGGTCCTAAACGAGGGATTGGCGTGATAAAACAGATTGGGTTGATACAGTTGTTATTTCCTGGTCTTTAAAGACCGAGTTTTTAACAAAGAAGGAATGTTCTTTCGAATTCATTGGTTTTGTCGGAATTTGGTTCTAGTCAAAATTACTTTGCAGATCATCCCACAATTTCCTTTATTCTGTTGTTTTGTAATTAGTTAATGGGTTGTTAATGGTCATTTGCAGATATTTTTGGCCACAAATGCATAAGTGTGTGGTGGTGATTATATCTATGATTTTGTTATTCTATTATTTGTTCGTGGATAATATGTAGGGCTGTTTTCGATTTTATAAGTGGGTTCTGTGGCAACTTCGTCAATTTAAGGTAATGAGGGATTTAACAACTTCCTGATACAATGTATATGCAATTCCTGCTGCTGTGATGACGTGCCAACCATTTCCCCCTCCGCCACAAATGCTTTTGCTACAGATTTAACAATAAAACTGTGGTTGTTGACCTCGTACTATAATATGTTTTAACACATTTTAATGGAATGAGCCCAGCACATAAGCGAAGAGAAAAAAATCCAATACAGAGACGACAATGAAAAAAAACGTTCAAATCCCAAACCTCTACTTGACCTCAGCATGGAAGAGCCGACGAGTCTTCAGCCTTAAACAATTGCATTTCGATTCAGTCCCGCAAAGCGTAACATACGTCTGTCTTAAGCTAACATCGAGTCAACACACGTAGTAATTTTACTTGATTTTGATCGAGTCGGGCATTTTATATCCTCAGCCAAAGTTAAAATCCACGAGAGTGATATTCTACTTACCTTTAACCTCTTGCTTATGCGAGCGCAGCGGGCGGTTGATTTTACCTTCAAAAAACTGATTTGTTCAATTACCCTTGCGTTAGGGTGATATACGAGAGGAACGACGGACGAGTGACGTCGAGCAATCTTGCAACCATTAAATGCTTGGTTATGCTGGAATTAAGCTAAACACCCAAAGGGATGAACAATCATGTTTTTTCAAAGATGGATTTTAGTGTACGGTTTACTGTTTTTATGGACGTGTGAAGCTAGTCTGGGGTCGATACTGCCTCGAGTTCGTAGGACTGTTACCAGCTGCAGAGTAGAAATGAATAAAGGACAAAAATACGCCAACATTTTGGATCTAAGAACAAATGCTGGTGTATGCCAAGAAACATCTTCGATCTGTGATACCGTTGGAATTTTGAACATGACGGAAGGTGAGAAAGTAGTAAATCGTTTGATCGTTTAAGTGTAAGCAGTATCATATGTGATCCATGCATGTTAAAAACAGTGTCAACAAATCAACTATAAATACACAAGAAAATAGATTGTAAGAGGTGGAAGCGTTGTATAAAATGCAATATGCAGTTCAAAATTAAATTGCTCTCTCTTTCAAAAGTTAACTCAAAATAACAGCATGCCATCACTGTGCAAGCTTATCCAGTGTCAGAGCATTTATTTTGAAAAAAAATGAGGCAATCTGTAATTAGATAATAACCCAGTTTTCCATTGAGAGGATTATAGTATTCCCCAGAGGCATTTCAATGTTTAGATAGGTCGTAAAAATGCAACTTGTGTTAGGTGAAGGCAGCAAATATTCATTAGTCTACTTATCGCTTCTGGAGACTTTTTACAATGATATGGCCTAAAATGTACCAAAATGTTATCTCTACATTGTAATTTAAATAATAATATTTACACCCATGTCCGTTACCTGTCTCTCTTGGCACACTTGAATATTGATGACATGTTCGCTTGAAGTTAACAAAAGAAGTCTAAATAAATAAACAGTTATTCATCTTTATATTATAACACATTCATATATACAAGCAGTGTCCAGCAGGTAGGCATATTTCTTACTCTAAAACATACCATGACACATTTTACAGTTTCTGTACCATTCATATTCATGGTATTTTTTAATGTTTCAGCATTGGTGTTGGGAGGATTTGTCTCTTATTCTTGAATTGTAGCGGTATATGCGTTGGATCAGAAAATTTTCTACCCCCTCTTTACATAGTCGATATAACGTCTGTGATTCTATGACTGGCATGGGTTCACATCCCCCTTTGTTTCTCCAGATCATGGGGTCTCAACCCTCCATCTTGCTAGGTCGTGTTCTTTCATTCTGGACATATTCAAAGGGCAGCTTATATAAAAAGCTTCGAGGGAGTTTATTTTTGCCAAGAGTGTAGCCACCCATACCTCACAGTCATGGTTTAGCATTGGCTTTAATAGTATATATCGAATAGCTTTAAATTTGCTGGGGTGAGACTGTGTTGGGTAATGGAGTGATTGCGTTCAACAGTGCTTTCACAGCTTTGTCTTTCACATCTCTAATGGCACTTTTGAACGATCCATTTGACTGAAATTTGATGCAAAGATATGTATACTCCTTTGTGATGTCAAAGTTTCTTTGTTGATACACTAGGGTATGTGTGTGTGTGTGTCTGTGTGCGTGTGTGCGTGTGTGTGTGCGGGCGGGCGTGCAGGCGTTAAACAGAGCTTTTAATTTTTTGTGGTAGACAACGCTAGATTTGGAGCACTAACGCACAGAGTGAACCTTTAAACACGCGCAGAATCATTTTTACAATCAGAGTTAATACTTAGCTTGGCTATTGGTATTTCAACGTAATCAAATATACATGTATAATGTGTCAATTTATATTTCAAATTTGAGCTGTTTTGGGGATGCAAAATAATCCCACAGGCGTGGATATAGTACTTGCTGCTCCCATACTTTCTGCATACCATTTTCTCTCAATCATAAGTATACACGCACCAATACATAAGTACCCACATCCCATATGCAACATTTCTTTTATCAAACCATTTTATATTGACCAATTTGATAATTATGGTCGAGACCTGAGGCAAATAGTGCATTTTTCGCCTTACTTCTAACACGCGTTTTGTCTGTATATTGTTTGTTTCTTATTTACAGAATATCAACTAAATGATATGATTCGGAGTCTAAGAAGGGAAGTACCCTGTTTACCATATCTATCCTGCCGGTCAAAATGGGACGGGATTTGCATATCTATCACTTTAGTCTCTAGAGTATTAATTCCAGAAGGGTAGGTATCTTATTTCCCTGACACATTGCTGGGAGGTAAAAAAATTTTCTGAGGGTGTGATGTCAAGCATCCAAAGAGGGGAAAAGTTCAATATCTGTCAAGTACTTGAGTTTAGTTGCTTCAAAATGCCACGCTGTTGAGAATCTGTAGTAGAAAGAAGGTAAGATCCTGACGAAAGGTTTTTATGTTATTACTAAAGCAGTTTTGCAGGGTACTCGAAGTGCATGGTAGTACTCTTACTTAGTAATTATAAATTGTGGTTTGCAGCGCAATTAAAGGAATATTTTGCTTCGGAGATATATGAACGCGTGGGTATCCAATCTGAGTCGTGTTAGACTCACACATCGTACTAGTTAGTCGTTCCAACTGTACGGGGGATTCTCGCTATAAAGTGCAATCAGTGCAATCAGCTTAATCAGCACACGGCGGCTAATTACCCAGTAGCTGCTCGAGGAGGCGTCCAGACAATTAAGCTAATTCCACTGAGGGTCCTACGAAAATACGAAAACCGCGAAAACCGCGAAAACCAGAAGTTGCTAGGCGAAAACCTCACTATAACTTACCAATTCTCGATGTTCTCCACAAGTTGCTGTAATATTTGGATAACTTGGACCATATTACATACATCATGACCTTTGATAACGATGTTGTAATGAATTGAGTATGTAACAGCTGAGTTTTCTAGATCGGCAACTATAGTGCGTGGGAGCCACGTTTGGTTTACAATTGGCATATATAAACAGCAGTGTCCCCTCAGGCCAGTATTGCCATATCAGGCCAGTATTGCCCTCTCAGGTTAGTAATGCTTTTCCAGGCAAGTGATACTCTCTCAAGTACTATATGAAGTGGATAACACAGATTACCTGCATTCTTAGTAATACAAAGTTTATTAATAAATAGGAATTAATAAATATGCACGAAGTAGCTNAAATTGATAACTGCTTTGGTAAAATGGAATTTGGTATATAGAGAGCCTTTATTTTAGCATGATTTGAACAAAAAAAAAACAACTTTTTTATGATGAAAAACATTTAATGATTCAATATTTCATTTATAAAGTTTAATGCAAATACAAAGTTCTTACAACTTCATGTACAGTTAGAAGGAATTTTTCTCATGCACAAATAACATATTTACAAATAAAGCATTAATTAACTTAAAGTTGGTACAATGTTGTAAATGTTACTTGATAAATGTTTGTTAGTTTCTTATATGTATGTATTCAGTAAGCAGAAAATATTGTGCTGTTATCCACATTCATATGCCTGAGAGAGCATTACTGGCATGAGAGGGCAATACTGGCCTGATATGGCAATACTGGCCTGAGGGGACACTGCTGTTTATATATGCTAATTGTAAACCAAACATGGCTCCCACGCACTAATAGTTGCCGATCTAGAAAACTCAGCTGTTACATACTCAATTCATTACAACATCGTTATCAAAGGTCATGATGTATGTAATATGGTCCAAGTTATCCAAATATTACAGCAACTTGTGGAGAACATCGAGAATTGGTAAGTTATAGTGAGGTTTTCGCCTAGCAACTTCTGGTTTTCGCGGTTTTCGCGGTTTTCGTATTTTCGTAGGACCGTTCCACTGATTGCATTTCAGCGAGAATCTCCTGCAGAGTTGAACTGACCCAAATAGTACGATTTGTGAATCTGAATCTAATAGTTTTAGCATTTGAAAGGTTTTCGTTTAGTAGAAACTGAAACCGAAGAGCATTTCAGAGTGCAGGGAGTTCATATTTTTGACGCATGCTACTCTCATGTATGCTATAAATTGAATGTTCCTGTAACTGGCATACTGTTGCTCACATCCGTGAAATATTTCACTAAAATTGTCCTAAAATCCTTCAATTTCCTGCAGATCCTCTGTTGCCACAGAACTCTACAGATGTGCAGAAAAACTAGAGATAGACGGGAAGAACTCTGACATTTGTGAAAATAGACTTTTGATCGTTTATTCTCAGTGCGACATGCAGGTAAATGGAAAGCCCAGAGTAGGAAATGGCATATTGATTATCCTGATGCAAATATAAAAAGTTTAAGCGAGGATTGACTGTTTCATTTTAGATGTAAAACAACTGGTATCAGTCCGATATTAATCAATCAAACAGTGAATACATTGTAACTATTAACTCCCCCCCCCCCCCCCCTCAACGTTAAGAAATTCTTCCATTCTTCATTGTAAATACGCTTTGGGTAAACACCATGTCGTTTGAAAAAAAAACAGTGAGAATCTTCAGAGATAGCCTTAAGTCTCGCGGTTTAGCGTAAAATCGAACGAGATTTCGCGGGAGTGCGGCTCAGAAATAATGGGCACACTACATATGTAGTACTCTCTACCAGGGGTATTTTCAGCCTTCTCCATCAAAAAAAATATACAAAATACTAAATTTAATGAAAGGTTTTCGTGCAATTTTGCAACAACAAATCCATGGGGAAGGGTGTCAGGCCACCGAGTGCGGTGCATTAATGAATGAAAGCTGAGAGACTTTCGGCAAGGGTTCCTTTCTGGTTGTTATCTCTTTTGTGGAACTACAGTTTCTTGCAAAACATCACGATTTACTGTTTTGGATGTCACTTTCGTATTGCTTTCTAAGCAGACATGCTCAGTGCATAGGGCTTCACTCTTATCGCTAACACGGATTTTGGCACATTTTTCTAGTATAACGTCACGACGTGCCGCGCGTCTTATTTAAGGCTATCTTGGATTGTTCCCATAAATATTAGCCGGAGGTAAATAAACTATAATCTGATTATTTTGAAAAATCGTCCCAGTTTTGGTTTTTATTATTATCTTGAGAATCTGTGCTTTTTTGTTACAGATGTCAATTTATGCAAAACCAATGGCAGTGTCATGGGCGAATTCGTTCTGCATTAACAAGTTGCTACGTGAGAGTCAGACATATTTCAAGGCAGACGACTATTTTGGAGGACTTCTATACGTTATAACAAGTTTAAAGTAAATAGACCTTTCTTTTTATTTGAAGAGGTAATGTGTGTTGAATTAGGAAGGGGTGTGGGTCTCTTAATTTGAGCAACAGAATGGCTGTCCCTTTCCTAATTCTTCCGCATACATGTATGTTAGTATTCACGTAGATGTTTTATGTGAATTATGCAGTTACTGTGAAGGACTCGTTATGGAATCATTGTGTCAATTTGATGCGAGACTCCCCATGTATAATAACTTGTGATCGGCCGCCCAAATAATGGTAATGATTATGCAAAATACCAGTATTTTGCCATTAAAAAGTTACTTTTTATGGCCAACGCAACCATTACAGTCTCAATGTGTGCATTTTAGAAGATCAGCCCGCCGTTTATGCTGTAATGATTATCTTGTTTATTTCAGGAACGAATTTTTAGGGTTTGGTTGCCGGCCAAACAACAGCAAGAACTTCGAGGAGAAAACTCATCTTTACAGGACCAATGAAGAAAGTCATTATGAAGAGAATGTCACCTTCAACAGGACTCAATTCCAAAATGTATCATTTATTTGCTCCAAGAATCGTTTATTCACAGATACAGCAAAATATGTCGACAAACCCGAGTCCAGCGCTCAGAAACATACTATCCACACCGCCCATGACTCTGGTCATACTACCATTTACTCCGGGGCTGGGGGCCCCGTCAAAGACAAGGAAACAACTGCACAAATAGCGTGGTGGGTGATTGTGCTTATAGTATTAGGACTGTGTATCTTGGTCACAGTCGTCATCACCGGTCTCCTCTGTTGTTGTGGCTGCGAAAAATACATGGCCTCAGGAGGACCCGATCTGTCAGCTAGACAGCGAGCGTGGACGGTATAACTTAGACCGTTGATTATACATGAAATGCGTTAATTTTTATTTTATTCAAAGCACCGTTAAGTGAAGCTGCACACCAGGAAATGGACCTAGCGTGTCTTGAAATTATTTTAGCACGTTCGGTCATATTCGTTTGATTTACAGCAACTGGTTGGACGCTAAGTGTAATGCCACACACGCCCACATGCGATCGCTCTGCGGCTGCTTGGCCATTAAACAAGATAATGTTCAAGATGTTAGTGTGCTTATGCTTGGTTGTTAATGTTCCTTTTGATTTGCCAAAAACGATGAACAGGAAGTTAAGTACAGGGCACCTAAAATAAAAAATCTACACGTTACAGTTTCGTTAACTGCAGTGTGTTCGTTATCTGCTTCTTGACCCATAATATTGGTGTGACTACGGTACAAATTCGTACGTGCGAGCATTGATACGATTCATGGTACAAATGCATGTACAATCCGCGGTACGAGCTGTCTCAGTAACAGGTGTGCGTATTGGCACGACGCAGGGTAGGAGTTATGGCACATCCCAGGATAAGAGTGCATAACAGATAGTATCCAAGTCACGAGTCTTTTTGAGGACCGGGTGAGTTTTTTTCGGACAAAATGTAATGAATTTGGGGTTTTCTTTCACATTATGTATAAAATACTCGAAAACGACTGCACAATTGCCGTTTCAGTAAAGATCAAAACACAATATCAACAAGACGATTTTAGAGAAAAAAGTTATTCAGAAATTAAGTATATTTGATCATCAATCCCCCTTTTTTTTTGCATTTTATAAATACATATATAAATATATATATTGAACTCTGAAGTGACATGAGGCACGACTTCAAGCAAGTTTTAAACAGTACTTTACTGATATGTATATTAATTAATTGACGAAGCACTCTTACTTCCTTCCGTTTACCTGTGTAAATTGACCATGCACATAACGCCCTCTGACGTTGGTTTTGCAGTGAGATAGACCGGTATTTTTGGCAGGTAAAATATGCATGGTAAAGAGCACCTCTGATCTACGGTGTATGATTCTTCAACTGGAACAAGCGGTAAAAATAGACACGTTTTTGTATGTTTCTGGATATCATTTTCACTCTCGTCGCACGTTTGATTCACCCTCCTCGGAAACAGTCATGAAACTGAGACACGGAACCAATATTTGCAGCATTTTGTTTTTCACAGAGTTTTTATGCTTGAGAACAGTTATTTTTGGACAATCTCTTTCGTCAAGTAAAGAAAGAGAAATAGACGAAACGAAGAAAGGGCTGGTGGAAAATACGTTGTCATACAGACTGAGCAATATCTCCAACCCGAGGATAGATTTTGAAGGATGTGGTAGGACGAGGAAATCTTGGGTCTGCAATCCAGCAGGTGTTCTTGAAAACCTCCATGGTGAGTGGTTATGTTGATAAGAGCATCATCTAATGGGAATCTCCGTTTATCCAACAGTTATTATAACAGTTTGATGAGTTTTTTGATGGTGTAATTCATTACGAAAATGCACATTAAAATATTTGTTTGAAGTACAGCAATCAGATTTATTATGCTATTTGATTTATGAAATGTAACTGTGTTTATGGCTTTTATTTTTACTTTACAGCTGAACGCCTAGATCATATGATCGATGATATCTTGAACTCCACTGTATGCCCCTGTGCTAAGCCTTGTGATAATGGAGTAGCTGGATACAGCGTATCAATTCTGGTTATAACGAGCATCTATGTACCATCTGGGTAAGGCCTAATTAACACAACTCCTATACTATTTCTTTTCAAAACTTTATCACGAATAAAAATCGAAGTGTCATCTCTAGATCCCCAACCAATAATATCTGCTTTTATTTTCCCCAAATTTTACAATTTGTACATGCTTAACTTCATGAAAAGATTTCCCCTTTTGTTTTATTTTACTTGTTCTTCCACAGATTACACTTAACACAAACTATACTATGGGGAGGTGTGACATGGATGATAATGTCAACCGGAATCGATTTGTTTAACTCCACTAAACGCACAAGCATGAATAATGAACGCTGTATCTGGTCACTTGAAGGTCCATTAAACAGTTTGCTCTGACAGATAAATGACACCACGCCAATTTTAACTGCCCGTCGCGTTTTTAAGAAAAATGTATGGGCTCACGTTATCCTCACAATAAACAGCGTCCAACGGTTGCGCCCACACATGCACACATATGATAAATATCATAGAACAGGAAATTAAACCTAAAAACTAACTCACATTTTGATTAAAAAGAAAACCAATGCTCTTCGTTCCAGCTCCAGTATTTTCAATGAACTGAGTGGTTGGGGTTACGCACTGGCTAATCAACTGTGGAACTTTGGTACCTGTGGAAATGACATTGTTCTCGTGCTTTCACGAGATGATGATAGACGGGTATGTTAATCGAAAATTCCATATATTTGATAGCTTCCTGGCACAATTAGGTTTGTTTCACAACAATCCAAATGAATTACAAGTCACTAATGTCGGTTCAAGGCAGGTGTCCACTTGTTGCCTTGACCTCAAGGTTTGCAGAGTACGACCATCCTGTGAAGCAAACCCTTATTATATGATTAGAATATATAATTTAAAAAAAACTAGTTCAATCTCATATCACATTTAATCAAATGGATAACGATTCAAACCAACGTTTTTAGAACATCAGTTCCCTTGAAATTTTTGTCAACGAGCTGGTCGTCATATATACTATGTATCGGCAATTAGCACCCTATTTCTGTTAGGTAAATCTTAGACATGCATTGACTGCTCTAAAAGAACTAACAAACAGTACTTTTATATATATATATATATATATATATATATATATATATATATATATATATATATGTATCGCACGGAAAGTCGTGCACGATTTCATCGTACGGCGCCCTTAGCAATGTAACCTGGGCTATGAATAACATGTTTGTAGATGTGATGTATTATTTTCATTATTGTAGCTTGAAGCGTATGCTAATGAGCTGGTATCAGAGAAGATTGGCGGCACATCATGCTTGTATAAAATACTCCGGGGATGTCGGCCTTATCTTTTTGTCAAGAATTATGCTGCAGCTCTTCAGTATGCCGTCATTAGTCTGAAGTAAGTTGTACTTTTGAACGCTTTCGATGTCAAAACATCGATTTTTATCATTATTTCATTTTGTTTTATAAAATCTTTTGAATCTGAAATGTAACTGACATAATAAAACATAGTTAACGGGTTGTACAAGCTCATATCAGACGACCCTACCATATGCACTTCTACATTTTAGGTTATTAATCACTGTCGTGAATTAGTTGCCAATGGCTTATGTCATAACGTTTTTTTTGTTTTGTTTTTTTTTTTAATAGGAAGGTACTTTTGGGAGAGAAGTGCCCCGAGCCCAAGAACTCAACAGATTTTATATACGACGAAGACAATAACAGTGTCAAGATCAACAGTAGAAAACAAGACAACGATTTGTCAGAAAAAGACTTCGTTGCCGATGCAAAAGATGGTGGCCCAGAAAGTGCCCGTCAGTCAGGCTTACATGTAGAAGAAAGCTCGAACAAAGACGGGGTACCAGGGCTGCTTATTTCTGGCACTTTCTTCCCCTGGTGGGCTATCGTCCTCATAGTGGCTGGTGCTGTATTGGCCATTTCCCTTCTTATCGCCATGATATGCTGCTGTTTTGGTGGCTGCGGTGGGGGACGTGGATACGCTTAAAACTGATGTAGACTGAGAACTGTATAAATTCTCATAATTGGCCAGTTTCCCGTCTCGCCTTATGACATTTTTGAGTAATTACACGCCTACGGACTTCACCTCTATTTTCATTTTATCGCCTTTAAAACATCTGCAATAAAAAATACCACACGTGGGTGACCGCAGTAAATGGGATTAATCTTACTGCTGCCAAGAAAGTAGATCTGAATAAGGGTGCTGGGGCACTGATTATATGAAAAACGAATCTCAACACGCACATTTCTCTCATCATTTAGATTTTTGTGATATTCTGCTGTCTGTCAAGTCATTGTGTTAGTGATGACGATGAGCCGTGCAGTTTGTGTGAATGTGCAAGGTGAACCTGATCCCATCCTAACAAAAGAAACACATGAACATTTGCGTGCATTTATTAATTAATGGATACAACCTAGTGAATGCATGCTTCTCATACCGAACAAACACCAGCGATTGTTATGAATTCCTAGTATGAACTATTTACATTTTTAAAAGAAATATCTTGTTATGTGTTTAAATCAAGGACATGCATATGTAAATGCTACGTGGGATTTGTATACATAAAGCCTCTTGTTTATCATTCATTTTTATTATTTTTACTACTTAAAAGTACAAATACTACATAGACATACTATTTTGTATTCTGATATAACATTTATTTCTTTTTTTATCATAAACTTCATATAACCCCAGTATTTCCTTGACTTAATGACGTATGACTGCTATGTATTACTCATAAATTCATGTGGCTCTTGTCCTAGTTGACTTGCATGGCATCTACCCTTAACATCACACGCGTGTGACTGCTTATACTTGACATGAGCATTTACATTTCCTAAATAATGTTTCTGTAAATAGAATACGTACGGTAAAAAGAACGAGTGGACAAATACTTGTAAGGCACGATCATTTTAAGGGACAGTTCATAGGGTTCTTGTTGCCTTCATTTTTTCCTTGCACGGAGACAAAGCTTACATTCCAAAGGCTTGTTTCATGCCTGCTGGAAAACTGAACTATTCTATTCGAATGTAAGAATTACATGTAACTGGTTTACTCCAAGTAAGGAAAAATGTGCCCCCAAATAGGTACGTCAACAAATAAATGTCGACAATTATTAGAAAATTGACAAAGACAACAAGGAAATATATCTTTGTATTTTCCCCCAGATATACTCATTTCTTAAGTAAAAATCACTGCTTTTGTATCTCTTTTTAAAACGTGTATTTTGATAAATATTATGATTGGGGTCAATTTTTATGAATGACGCATGGCCATTGCGCTAAAGTAAATTACTAAACTGGGGAGTGTCATATTCTTCCCAAAACGTACGGTTATAAATGTCAAACAATACGCGGATCTTCATTTATCAGCGCTGAAGATTCACTGGTGATAAAAGTGCACCTTCTGACATTCCATTTCTTGCAAAAGATTCATCACATATCTCTTCAGAATAACCTGGTGCAGTGCATGAAGACGGACTGAGGTTTTATTCTACTTCTTATATGAAGTAGTAATAAAATTTTAACTTGCGGCTTGATGGCACCGGTTTTAAGGCTTTGATATCAGGGAAAGTAGGGAGGACGTCTTATCTACTTGACAAATGTGAGGCACCGTTACTCCTAGGTCGGGAAAGCCCATAATTACCTGTCTAATACAAACCAGTCATGCGGGTTGGTATGATGAGCAACACATTGAGAACTCAAATATAGGGTTCTCACTGCTATTTCTCTGGCCGAAAAAAAGCGAAACGTTATTTTGGGCACTAATAATGAACAGAGCAAGTTTGTCATAACAACAGGGATATCAGAGTAGAATCTGTTTTATTTACAGGAGTCACGCTTCGTCGAGAATGCGCGGAAAAAGAGATCTATTGTACAAAGACCATGACCCAAGGACGTTATGGATTGTTTTAAGGATTTACCTTTTTACCTTCTACATTTTAACGTCGGTCAGAGCGTTGGATCATAACAGCGAAAAAGTTGACAGAATACTTGGAACAAATACGGGTAGTATGGATAAAGGAGTGTCCTCAATTTTAGAAAATGCCATATTTGGCCGGTTTAGGCGGCAAACCACTGGCTGGACCCTCCAGGAGATAGCTAACCCTAGTACGGACCCTGAGGGCTGCGGCAGGACAGCCCCTGGCTGGGTGTGTGACCCCGGCGGTGTGCTGTTGACAGAAGACGGTAACAGTTCTTTTTAAAACAGAAATTTTTATCTACAGATTTTGTATCAATCTAAAACCTATTGGTCACTGGGCACTATTAACAATAAAAGGTAAAATTAAAACTTTAGTTTGAGGCCATTTCTACCAACGAACTTCTTACAAAGCCCAAAAGTTGCCAATAGTTTACATATTTTAAAAATATTTTTATATAATGAAATTAGATTTTCGTTAGTAGTAGACCAAATATCACATTTATACATCACGTGTACTATATTTATATTTTGACTTCAGTGATTATTTCACAGAGAAATGCTCACTACAAAACCATATGAAAAGTGTTTACGACAGTTTACACCGACAGCACAAAAACACGGATGACAAAATCTAATTATAGCACCCCTTGGTCATAAAACACAAGTTCTTATCCACTAATAAGTAATCAATTAACCGTTGTTGTTCATATTTCTACCCCGTGTTAAGCAAAACAAGTGAGCATGACATATATTCGTACCACCACACCTGAAAGCACACAATATATCATTATACGCCAGCGCCAGGTAGGTCAGGTGGGACATGCCCCGTGACGCATTCCACGCCGTGATGATATTCACCCGAGCTTCACTCATGGCCATCTGAAACACATAAGTACTGTCACCAAAGAATTTAGAAGTGAAGGCGGTAGCAGCCGTAAAATCTTGCAAAGCATTTTGTACCAAGATAACTGAAATTAACCAACCCGAAATATTTAGATGAATATATCCAATCTGGGAATTTATTAAACTTTAATTGAAATCAATATGAAAGTAAAGGTATAGGGCCTTGTCCCCACTGTAGTACTTGTAGTATAAGTATGAGACGAAGAGACGAGTTAAAAAAATCGCCAGGCCTTCTTGTTTTATAAGAGATTGGAAAAGAATAAGGCTAAATGAGAGTCGTTTTAAAGAATACAAATCTCTCCTTATTGCCAATACACTCCCCTGTGAACGCGGATGCATATCGAAACACATATGTGCGTGCAATTTTTCTTGGAGAGAAGGGGGTACATAACCTGTTTGAATATGGGCCCCTTGTCTTTTTCAGTTAACCGCATGAATGAGCATATTAACGGGATCATGAGGGATTCGTTATGCCCGTGTCCCGGTGCTTGTCCGTCTGGGCTGTCTGGATACAGTATCTCTGTGGCCATAGTTCCCAAGATGAATGTTCCAAGCAGGTGAGATATTAATGAATCTTCTGACTGTATCTTTTTGTCGTCTGTTCAGGTTTATATACACATGGCCAGGTAGGATTAAATGGATGTTTTAATGTTTACTTCAAAGTACATATCCTTGGGGCACCCCCACAGTTGCCCTGCTAATATTGTGACACTTAAGTAATAGAATCAAACTGTCGAAAAGTGATGTTTTTCATGCTTCACGCTGCCTTAAAATGACGTATTCATGATTTAGTTATACAACTACCCTCCCCACCCCACCCTACGAAAATTAAAATAGTTCACATTTTACTGTCTAAATCTTGAACTGTTTTGTTCTTTCATTCAGTTCTTCTACTCCGATAGAGGCTAAGAAATGGGCCAGTGAATTGGTCCAAAACAAGTGGAACTTTGGCAGCTGTGATAACGATGTTGTAATATTTTGGTCAAAAGAAGACAGGCAGGTAAGTGACATTCGTATTTCTTAGTTTGTCTTTCCTTCATCTCCTGGGAATGTGAGGCTACAAGCTCGCTATATATCCAGTGATAATAATTTTATTTTTACAATTTTGAACTATTTTTGTAATTCATATTTCAAAAATGTACACATTGAAAAGATATGTCTAGTTTTTTTAACTTTCAGACCTCAGAACTACATCGAGTTTACATTTTCCAATTGATAATCAATTTTACCATTACAGTCCGGATCATTCAGGAAAACAGTTAATGTTTCATTCCTGTTTTTGTTATTTTTTCCATTCAGTTGTATTCTTCCGCGGGTTCTCGAGCTTATAAGAAGCTGTCAGGTGATTGCGTTGGAGATATTTACTCTGAAGCAAGGCCGCTGTTCGACGGGGGCAATTACGCTAAAGGATTTGACCACATACTTAAGGAATATAGGTTAGTTCATTGGTGACACAAATTAGTTAAAACCCAAACAATCCATAAAATTTTACAGTGCTTACTTTATACATTGTATTTATGTGGAAATTTGTCAAACAAGGACCGGGTGGTATCTATTCACGAAAGCACGCAGACAAATCAAGGATATTAAATATTAAATAATGTGCCTAGCACTGCCACATGTAACTACATGTATATCCTCCTCTTGATTTATTTATATCGCTTAAGGTAGCAGACTTACAAAATGATCGTTGTATTATCATTGACTTACAGATTAAATTTCATTAAACAAATATAAAAATCGTATTTTTTTTCTTTTAGGAAAGCCCTCCTGGGAGAACGTTGCACAGCCCTTCCTTGGTGGGCAATATTGTTGATCATTCTAGCAATATTTCTTTTGATTCTTCTGATTGTATCCCTACTACTCTGTCTACTGTGCTGCAAAAAGAAAAAGCGAGATCGTGTACAAAAACGCACATTTGTCCACCAAGTATCACCTGATGGGAGAACTACCACGGTGGAATACGTTTCACCGGTTACGTCAAGGCCGCCGTCACGTGTCACCAGCACTCCTATTCCTTTTTACTCTCACACAATGCCTAACATGGACAAACATAAAAAACGAAAGAACGGCCATGCCGGCTCGCACAAGAGCTCGCCTGCTGTGTTTAAAAAGGGATATGGCAACGCAGCATACAGAGACAGCACTTTAGGAAGCCCGAGCTCCGAAAGGGCCATGATTTACCACATCCCTGACGGTGTTCAACCTGTAAGAAATTCGGTTCCTTCCAGATCTGGAAGCTTTTCGGACTACGGAGGCGGTTACAGTACCTATCATAGCGGTGACCGACGAGCAGACGATCGTCGACATTACGGTAGCCATGGCAACCTATACTACCCTCGTCACCATGACAACAGTCCACATAGAGATATGCGACTTTGACAGCAAAGCCACAAATACCTTTCTAGTAATTGGATACAGCATTCGCAGGCTACAACTGATTGAAATTTATCAGTGAGATAGCCTATAAAAATGGCATTCTTTAAGAAAACCGGGGAAGACAAAGGGAAAGGGAGGATGAAGTTTTAGAATGCCAAGAAAGGAACCACCGAGTTTTTTGTAACGTACTGTAAGAGTACATAATCTTTGGGCCCTTCGCTACTGAGGGGTATGACTATAGCAAAATAATAATTTATCTTTGATTGATGTACAATAAACCTGAAACGTACAATTTCCAATATTAAGACATTGCATGGGAGAATACATTGACTCACTGATTATGTGATGACACGTGCCATACCGTGTAAATTATAGAAATCCCAACTGAAAAGGAATGATTTAATGTTGAAGTCATTTACATAAGGTCTTGTGATACATGTATTTATATAAAGGTTATCAACAGCGTACAAATGTATATATAACTTGTATTAAAATTCATGAAACCATATGGGATAACGTTTTTTAAGGTGCATGTATGGTTGTATGGAGTGGTGAAGATAATACACGGTAGAAAAAGGACGCCTTGCCCTATAGTACTGAATGACGATTAATGGGTGTGTGTGTGTGCGTGTGGGCGCGCGCGCACGCAATGACCCGGATGTCTGTTCTCTTTTACTTGTAACATATGCCACGGTTTTCGAGAAAACACAGGACCTACATTTCTACCATTGCGCCGAAAATTTCTCTTAGCCTTTTGTATTTAAATTAAAAACCTTTTCACCTTGAAGCTACACCAGAAGAACATACTTAAATAATAATAAATAATAATAAATAATAATAATTATGTATCTTTCTTTCTAAATTTAGGCTGATGCACGAATCGCGCAATGCGTGACAAAAACTGTCATAAGTCAATCTATAGGTCACATTTAACTGATGTATTGTGTATTCTCTACATTCTGTAACTCTCTTCTTCAAAACATCGCGAAAGAATGCTCGTACTACATAATTTACCGGACACCTGAACATTTTCATCATACGCACGTAATACTGGTCTAAACATGTAATTCATGTACATACACATATTTTTCAGTTGGGACATTTTAAAGCCTTGAATGATTATCGTCATTCTAAATAGCTTTTTAAAATAAAATGTGGTCGAGAAAATAAAAGTTTTTTTGTTTGAATAGTGATTCCCTTCACTGATGAATTCTGAAATAAATATATGTATTTGTCTAATTGGCGCGACTTAATTCGTTTATTTATTCATTTATGTATTCTTCATAGCGTATACCAGCTAGTTAACTGTTTTAATTAGCAAAAAAGGAAGATGTTTTTCTCAAACGGAAACGATTTTGTGAATGGCTAGCTATAATATGACTTGAATATTCTAAATGTATGAAAAAATCGACTTCAGTTGTTGTAAATAGAAACTTAAAATATTGAAATCCATGTACGAAGGCTCAAGACGACGTAAGGTTGCAAAAAAAAACTTTCATTTCAAAAGAATACTCAAAATAATGAATAATCCAGAAAACGCGTTTGGGTACACTATTTCGAAGGTAAATACAACGTAAAGTCAACATATGGCGATAAGAGGAACTTTCTGAAAATGCATTAAAACACATTTGAGTATTTAGAGCCGTTAACTTAACCTTTGATAAGTCAGGAAATGCATTTGGTTTTTTGATAATACAGTATATCCTATCTACAGCAACTGAAACTTGCGCCTGCCACTTCATAAAATCATAATACTCACATTCAAGGGGACTTGGTATATCATAAATGCCTACATTTGGCAAATAGCTTTTTCCTGTATCTTTTATGTAAAAGACTGATTTCAATATTAGTTCAGAATGTAGTCTGCTAATGCTTTTAACGGACTAAGTTTCGTTTTAAAAGGAGCCAAAGAGGATATTTTTTTAATGTTTATTTGATCTCATTTATCCAGGTTTTAGAGTTTTAGAGTATGGATTAATTTTGGAGTAGAATACCGTATCAAACGCGCAGCTTTTACATATTTAAGACTTAAGCCTCTATTCTACTTGCGACTTTGTGTATCTTACGTGTAATACAGAAACGAACTTGCGGTTATAAAATATGCAGTGAATCATATCAAGGGGAGGTTTCGACAGCTTGTATCCGCTTTACTTCAATTGCTTCAATTCAATATGTAAGAATATAGCTGCAACGCACTGTACGCAATATATGAAAGTTGAAGTGGTCTTTCTAACTGTTCCCCTGACTGTCATTCTTTGATTCAGTTTCAGATGAGCGAAATAATTGAACGATTTTAACCAAAATACAACGCTTTAAACCCACAATGTCGGTTGGATTCATATATACTCTTCCCTTAAAAATTGATAGCCCCGGCATGTTAATAAAATATGCAAAAATCAAATCGTCTAATCTTTCTCTCTCTTCATACGCACCCACAACAATGTACAAGTATACAATATCCTCTTATTAAATTCAATTTTGACAAATATTTCACATATGAAACACTTTTCACAAATGAAACACATTTCAAACGATTAAAATAATTTACTGAAGCACCCGCGGTTACGAACTGTACTTGCACAAACAGTTCAAACGGAAAACAGATTTCCTGAACTCCTTTTAAGTCCAAGTAATTTTTCATGGAATGAAATTTGAGTTTTATGCATTTCTCTTTAAAAGTTCAAATCAGTGGGTAATCTACAATCTGTTTTATCGGTAGTTGAACCATAAAACCAGTTCAACATGTCATCGGAGGAGTATGTTTTGGGAGGTTCATTTGGGTCGTTCAGTTTCCTGCAAAGCTCGCACCAGTCGATGCCGGTTGGCTCCTCGAACGTGTACTCGTTCCGCCAGTTCAAATAGCTCACGTATTTCTCGGGGTCTTTATCTAACATTAACAAATATTCAGCAAGTTCTTTTGGAGACTTAAAGTCCGCTGTGTTGATGTGCCATTCCGGTTTGATCCCTAGCCGTGAGTAGTCGGCACCCCCGCGGCTAATAATCACTGTGTCATACAATACGCTACGGTACCACTTTTCAGTCACGTAATCAGTGGAAAAACTGTTCTCAAACGCCAGGTAAAATTTATAGTTTGCATCAATATTTCCGAAACATTTGTCGTTGTTGCCGCACTCCTCTCCACACTGACCAAATATGTCGACTGGAATATACTTTTGGAGTTCTTTTACATAGTCTTCTCGGCGGCTCCAGGTTTCGCAATGACTTACCGCCCAAGCCACCATCTTCTGCTTGGATTTTGCTTTCGACAAGAAGTCTTTATTCTGAGGCACAGTTCTCTTTACAGGTACGCCAAACGGCCGAGGTATGTCGGAATCGGTCCTGAACGTCATGGTCCAATTGAAAAGGCCCAGGAAATCCCTTGCTTCTTTTGTTTTGGGAAAATGGCTCTGACAAGGAGATTCCCTTGTGTAAAATATCCAACGCTGTTCCGCAGGTCTTACTTTTGGAAGTCTATCTCTGGCTACTGGAGCGTGAAGGGGGAAATTAAAATATCGAACAAATGCTGGGGCTAGAAGAATTACAGCATCACTTTTTGGTGCCAACCATTTCTCTTCCGTAGCTATACAGTTCTTCACGGGACAACCTTGAAAAACTGTTTTGATGTCATGTTCCTCGCTGTAGTAATGTCTACATTTGTGATTGAAAAGCAGAATCAATTTCTCCCCATTTGGTCTCTCTGGAATAGGCACTGGCTGAGGCAGGTCCTCGTCCTCAAAAGTGCATTTCAGCCAACCTCGAGATTGGGGAGCATATTTCTGAAGTTTGGGTCGACTTACATTGTTTTTTTTAACAGTACCGACCTGTGAAGCAGCTGCTGGGAGGCTTGCTGTTGGAGGAAATGGCATTTGATCCATATCTACATCCGTGTCCATCAGATGTGTCTGTATAACTGTATGGTTAAAATGTTTGGTGAGCAAAAACAAGATGAAACAAGGCCCCAGAATGGCAAAGAGTCTTGGGAGGGCGCGCTGCCTCCGCCAAAGCTGCATCATTCTGATCCTTATATTCATCTGCCCAGTAAGGAACTCGTGACCGGTTCGCGGTGCTCTCTGAAAATATAAATAGATGCCAAAAGCCTCTGAAGTTCCTTTAATTTCGTCGACACGCATGCAAACCTTGCGAAGGAAGGGACCCGCATAGGGTGTATATAATTCATGTGTCATACTTTCAAACGTGTGTATGTATATAAATGCATCTTAAAATGTTAAGGAGACCGATATTTTGAGACGTATAGGTAAATTTAGCAATATTTTAAAGACGGTAAAAATACGCCAAGTCAAGTCAAGCAGAAGAACCCTTGAAATACTTAGAGGTAAAGTGACAAAGAGAAACGTCAAAAATCGGAATCTTGTGCTATCGACATCAATTATGAATTAATAAGGCAATTTGTCGACTCAATCGTGCACGGAATGGGTAAAACTGCACAGCAAGGCTAACAAATATGCATACAAAAGATATAACTGACAATGGATGCACATTTTTGCGTTAAGAAAAGTCTAGAACTTAAGAACATTAAATTTTATTCTAAAATTCCCATTCATAATTCTGCTGGTCCATCGCCATTCAGTTTAATTTTTTCAATGAAAAAATTACAGTTATGTCGTTGAAACATATTACATAGAATGTCAAATGAACAAACTATATTTAAGCCTCTGAACTTAACAAAAATTAAGGCTAAATGCGTGTACGGGGATATTGAGGTAATATATGAATTTATTGTCGTTTAACGAGTCAACGTAAATGTGTTAGAGAAGCAAGCAAGGGTGGGGAATTTGAGATGCGCAGATTGCGTATTGCGCATTAGAATAATTGGAATAGCGAGACAAGTAGTTTTCATTCGAGACTGTTTCAGCCGTCTTTGTCGGACTGGTGAAGTAAATGGCAAATGTGTCAAAAAGGAGGCAGGCGTCTGATTCGGATAGTGAAGATTCTGTAGACGAACGACAGAGAAGAGATTTTGTAGATTTGGTGGTACACGAAAAGAAGAGGGTGCCAAAGGAACACCAAAAAGGACAGGTGATGTAAATGAAAACAGCTCAGTCGGTAATATGGCAGACACGTTTTCGTGGTTTAAAATCTATATGGACAAACAGTTAAAACAGTTGAAAAGAGAACTCGCCGAAGAAAGTCGAAGCCGAAGCAAAAAGTTCAAGACAGTATAGCAAAAATTTTAATTAACGGGAAATCAAAAACAGTTCGAAATAGATACCGAAGTAATTGAAAATATGCAAAAAGCAGATGTGTTAATTAAGGAAGGGCAGGTGAAAGAGGTCCGTAAGGTACTGAAAGAAAGCATTGGCATTTTACAAAAGCGAAATAAACTCATAAAAATAGCAGACAAGTCAGAAGCAGGTTGGTAAGCGGTAAAAGGAATTATACTGCACGAGTCAATTTTGCAGGTGTATCTGACAGAGGATATTTTCTTTTTCGAAGAAAAAGATTACCAATATAAAACGACCAGTGATTTGCCTGTGGGCAATATGGCCATTGGAGGGAGTTTTGCCCAAACATTTACCAAACACAGGGTACAGTGCCTCCACGTGGAAGAACACACGGACACACAATCAGGGCAAGCGAAGCTAGGAAGCAAGGAAGCGGGTGATAACAAA